GTAGTGCCGATGTTCACCACTGGTTTAGTACTCAGACGATTGTTCGGCGTAGTCTAGCCGAGCCTCGACAATTAGTGCTGGCGCAGTACAGAATTTTTGTTTCGCCAAAGCTTGGACAAGCCACGGCGGCAAGTGCTGGCTGAGTATAGAAAAATTGTTCACAACGCTCTTTGCCAACATTGCTTTTTTGACATAAACTTGAAAAAAATTATAAAAAAAGTTTATGAATGTTTATAAATATAAATTTATTCAAAAAATTAATATTTTACTTTTTGGTTGTTCATTTTTTATTCTTATTAAATTTAATAATAACAATTTAACACAATTGTCTAATTTTGTAAATAATAAATTATTTAAACCAATTAAAATTATAAACAAAATTTAAACTTTAATCTCAATAATAATTTGGTTCCTATTAAAATACTATTATACTTCTTACTATGAATAAAAAATTATTAAAAAATTACCACGTAATTTAAGAATTACGTAAAATGTTAAATGCAATAAGTAAAGTAATTTAATTATTAAAAATTTAGTTTAATTTATTTTATTTCAATTTATTATTTCTAACGTATTCCTATTTTTTTCTCATCTTTGACTCAATAATTGTATGTCTGAATGATACTGAGATATTAATACTTTACTGTACACATGTGTCGTTAGCATAGTGGTTAGAGCGTTAGTCTGTTAGTCCGTAGGTCGTAGGTTCGATTCCCCTCGTCAGCAACTTTGTTTATTTTCATAGGTTTGCGATATTTCTAGATTCCAATCGTTAGGTACTAAAATATGAAAATCTAATGCACACTTACTGTAATTGTTTATTATTTAATTTTTAAATGTTATAAACAATTTTTTTCTACTTCATTTACTATATCCATATTGTTAGTCTCCATCTTTAATACAATTTCTTTAAGAAGAGAAATATTTTAATAATAATAACTGTTTATTAATATTATTTACCATTTTGTTGTTAAATTATTTATAAATTAATTATGAATTTACGACTAATTAATAACAATACGGCATTTATTGCGGCAATATTCTCAGCCAGCACTGGTCCAGTGCTGCGCCAGCGCTGCCTGGCAGCACTGACAGACAGTACTTCGGCAGCGCCAGACGGCGTTATCATCCCAGTGCCATGACAGTGCTGGCTCTCAGCCTTGCCGCCAGTGCTGCCAGTGCTGGCGCAGTACTACGCCAGTTGTAAATTTCCCATTGGGTTATTAAAAAAAACCCGTCCAGTAAACCAGGAAAAATTTGGACAAAGCCGGAAATTGTTTGAAACCAAAATAAACACCGTGTTTAACTTTTGTCTTTACATTGATCAAGATATCTCTAAAAGTTAAATCAGAGAGCCCACAAATACTATTGAATTAAGCTTCATAGCAATTGGTATCAATTATAATTTTTTCAATTTTTTGATATTCAAAACATTTTTATACTTACATCTTCGTTATAAGAAAGTATTTTTGAAAAATTATGCTAAAATGTGACTAAATAACATGTAATACTCAACTATAGAAAGTTTAGAAGCAATCCATGAAAAAATATAAAATTTAGAAATGATTTGTGTTAAATAAATTTATTTATTAGAGTCAAGTATTTATTTAATTAATCCAATTAAGATTTATTTGATTCAACTAAATAAAATTATTTAAACGAAATAAATTCTTATTAGATCGAAATAAAAACTTTTTAAATAAGATATTATTTTTCAAATAATTATAATTACTTGAATCATATAACTTTTTTTAGTGTAGCTATAGTAAACTAAAAGTTATTAATGTGAACGAACATTATCTATATTAATAAAATCAGATTACTATCTGTACATTGCTCCAAACTTGAAAATTTTTATATATTTTTTCGTTTTGAGACATTAGAATTCTAAAAATGTAAAAAAAATTTCTGTCTGTCTGTCTCTGTCTGTATGCAAAACTTTGTTCGCGCATCAATTGAAAACGGTTCAACCAATTAAAGTGAAATTTGGCAGTCTATTAGGTATTAAAGTAACTTACAATCATAGCCTTATCCGATTAAAAAATATTAACTTGAACAAAAGTTATGACATTTTTCCAAAAAATTCAAAAAAACAAAAAAATGCAAATTTTTTATCTTTTGTAAAATGAATGAAAAAACTATCCTTAGCTAACTTTTTCAGATAAATACAACCCATTTCTACGATAAAATTTTTAAAAAAGATGTATTTTGAAATTTTTTTTCGTTTTTTTAGATCAACTTTTTTCTAAGAAAATAGTGATTTTTAATCTTTAAGCAAGCTTTTCAGGAAAAGTTATTAAAGTTTTTTATTTAAAGATCAGTATGTAAAGTAAAACATTTGCTACATTAAACAAAAATAATTAGCTAAATGCCATAAAAAAGAAGGAAAAATGTTGAATTTTAAGAAATTCGGTTTTTTGAATTTTTGATAATTTTCCATAATTTTAGATTTTTTACCGAAGGGTGGAGATAACAAATTAGGTAAAGTATTTTTTAAGAGCACAAAAATAATAAAGCTAAATGCTATAAAAAAGAAGGAAAAATGTTGAATTTTAAGAAATTCGGTTTTTTGAATTTTTGATAATTTTCCATAATTTTAGATTTTTTACCGAAGGGTGGAGACTATTGAATAAGTAAAGTATTTTTTAAGAGCACAAAAATAATAAAGCTAAATGCCATAAAAAGAAGGAAAAATGTTTAATTTTAAGAAATTCATTTTTTTGCATTTTTGCTATTTTTCCATAATTTTAGATTTTTTACCAAAGGGTGGAGATAACAAATTAGGTAAAGTATTTTTGAAGAGCCCAAAAATAATGAAGCCAAAAGCCATAAAAGAGAAGAAAAAATGTTGAATTTTAATAAATTCGGTTTTATGAATTTTTGCTAATTTTCCATAATTTTAGATTTTTTACCAAAGGGTGGAGACTATTAAATATAAGTAAAGTATTTTTGAAGAGTACAAAAATAATGAAGCTTAATGATATAAAAGAGAAGAAAAAAATGTTAAATTTTAAGAAATAATTATTAATTAATTAATTATTAACTAATTATTAATTATTATTAATTAACTAATTATTAATTATTAATTATTAATTATTAATTAATTTATCCCGGGTATTTTTGATTTTCCGCAGATTGGTAGAAACATTGTTAAATGTATTGGTAGAAACTAAAACCCGTCGAAGACGGGTACGACATGACAGCTAGTGCTATATATTTTCAAAATTTTTAAAATTCAAAATTTATCTTTTGAAATAATTATTGTCATTAATTTTACTTAAATTTTATACAGGGTTAATTTTAGTATTTTTTATTACAATTTAGTCATCAGAATGAAATTTGAGTTTTTCATTTTTTGATCATTAATTAATAAAATATAATAGCAATTTTGAATTCTGTGCAACATACTGACAAAAGTCTCATATTAATTATATGGATATTGTTAATATTCTGACCTAATAGAATTTTTTTAAGAAAGTAAACTTATGATTTCAACAACAAATTTTTATTGTTGACCTAAGAAATACAACCGTATAAAAATTAATTACAAAAAAATTTCAATTTTTAAACTTTTTAATTTTTCAATATTTAAATCTAACACTTTTTATTTGTTATTCAAAATTTTATTATTCTGACGATTAAATCTTCATAAAAAACACTAAAATTAACCCTTTACCAAGTTTAAGTACAATTCACTAAAGTATATGAAAAAACTAAAAATTTCGAATTTTCGAATTTTTGAAAAAATGGCATAACTTTCGTCCATATTAATATTTTTTAATCTACTATCGCTAGGATTTTAAGTTAGGCTAATGCCTAAAAGACTGCCAAGTTTCACTTCAAACGATTGAACCGTTTTTCCGTGATACGCGGTCGAAAATTTGCGGACATACATACACACATACACACATACACACATACACACATATACACATACACACATAATTTTCTTAATAGTATTTTCGCATTCCTTAGAGTGTAAAAAGAAGGAATATAATAGAAATTTTGAATTCTATGCAATGTACAGACAAAAGTCTGATTTTATTAATAAGGATTAGTTTTCTATTTTTATTATTTATTAAATTTTTATTATTTATTAATGTTTCTTTATTTTTTATTTATCAATGTTTCTTTATAATTTATTACTTATTATTTCTTTAGTTCAGAACAAAATTGTAAAAATGATTCTAATGGCGTAGAAATTTATTACTTATTCATTACTATTTCTGCATTACTTATTTATTTATTATTTATTATCTTTACTTATTACTTGTTATTTTTTTAGTTTAGAAAAAAATGTCAAAAATAGTTCAAATGGCGTAGAAATTTATTATTTATTTATTATTATTACTTAATATTTTTTAGTTTAGAAAAAAATTGCAAAAATGGTTGTAATGGTGTATAAATTTATTATTTCTTTGTTATCATTTTCTTACTAATTTTTTTAATTCAGAAAAAAATGTCGAAAATGGTTTTAATGGCGTGGAAATTTTCTCAACGATTACTAATTACTAATTATATTGGGTAATTTAAACAATTTTTGCTATTAAAATTTTTTTTTCCCTCAAGAGACTCTTTTTATAATTAAAAAAGAAATTTTTTGTTTAAGAGATGTGTTATGGACCGTCTACTTTAAACTCCTCACTTATTAGCTTGTTCTTTATTGATCTACTTCATAAAATCGTTTTTCGAGTAGAAGAATAGAATGAAAATTCTTCTTCTTTTTCACTTTTCAAATTCATAGCATACCTGCTGCAATTTTTATTATTGTAGTTTATCAATTTGAAAGATTAAAATATTTCAAGAATTTTCTATCAAAGCTTTTTTATATTATTATTTTTTATAATAAGTAGAAAATAGAAAATAAGTTATAAGTTGAAAATAAAATTAAGATTAGTAAAAAAAGAATAAACAAAAAAAATTAATTATGAATTAAAAATAAATTAATACTTGAAATTGATGGAAAAAATGAAGAGAATTATAAAAAATGATTAACTTACTCCGATTGTTGACAGTACAGCATGAATATTTGTATTATTCGATAAATCTCGTCCTAAATAGATAATATAAATTGTTAAAAATCCTATCATTATGTGATTTACTAAATTTGCCACTGAAAGACAAATCCTCCCAAATGTCCAATCAAATTTTCTCTTTGGCTCTTCATGATCGAAATCCATTGTCTGAAAATCTGTAATAAACATTATTTATGAAGCGTTCATGTTCAGCATGTATATATGTATATGTCAAATCATTGAAAACAATTATTTTCATATGTAAATTTTGAAAGAACAATAGCAACAAATATTGCGATAAGCGTCTATTAATAATAATTTTAATAATAATAATAATAATAATAAAAATAATGAAAAGAATGAAAATAATAAAAATAAAAAAAAAATAATAATAATACCTACAATGAAAAACGTAATTTAGTTATTCAATAATTTATGCAATAATGTTATAAATTTTAAATTAAATTTAATATATGTGGGACATTCCACGTCAACACGGACAGAGCTCTAAACAAAAATTGCTTTGATGGATTTAAACGTTCTAGGGCTTAAAAGATTTCTACGTTCATGTACTTTAAGATGCCGATGGGCGTTTTTTGCAAAATTCCATTTCCGATGCCAATAGAACTGTCAAAAGTCAAAAGGTCCAAAAATCTCAAAATACTTTTATGAATTAAAAGCAAAAAACGAGGTAAATTATTCTCTAACTCATTCTTTATCAGTTTTTAGGGTTCCCGAATATAAATCTAAAGTTTTTTTTAAAAATCCAAAATGGCGAAATCAATATGGCGGACAAAATTCAAATTTGATCAGATTCGATTAAAACTTGTTACTCGGGGGTTTTTAGGGTCGCTGATTACGAATCTGAAGTCACTTTTTAAAAATTCAAAATGGCGGATCCAATATGGCGGAAAAAATTTTCAAATTTGATCCGATTCCCTTAAAACGTGTTACTCGGGGGCTTTTGGGGTCGCAGATTATGAATATGAAGTTACTTTGTAGAAATTCAAAATGGCGGATCAAATTTTTTAATTTGATCAGATTTAATTAAAAAGTGTTACTCGGTGGTTTTTAGCGTATCTGATTATGAATTTGAAGTCTCAAACACAAAGTAACTTCATATTCATAATCTGCGACCCCAAAAGCCCCCGAGTAACACGTTTTAAGGGAATCGGATCAAATTTGAAAATTTTTTCCGCCATATTGGATCCGCCATTTTGAATTTTTAAAAAGTGACTTCAGATTCGTAATCAGCGACCCTAAAAACCCCCGAGTAACAAGTTTTAATCGAATCTGATCAAATTTGAATTTTGTCCGCCATATTGATTTCGCCATTTTGGATTTTTAAAAAAAACTTTAGATTTATATTCGGGAACCCTAAAAACTGATAAAGAATGAGTTAGAGAATAATTTACCTCGTTTTTTGCTTTTAATTCATAAAAGTATTTTGAGATTTTTGGACCTTTTGACTTTTGACAGTTCTATTGGCATCGGAAATGGAATTTTGCAAAAAACGCCCATCGGCATCTTAAAGTACATGAACGTAGAAATCTTTTAAGCCCTAGAACGTTTAAATCCATCAAAGCAATTTTTGTTTAGAGCTCTGTCCGTGTTGACGTGGAATGTCCCATGTATTTTATTTATTTAAAAATAAACGAAACCAACAAATTACATCAAATAATAATTATAATAATTAATATTTATCTCTACTTTAATGGAAATTAATTAATACCTAATATAATCTTTTATAGAATACAAATAAAAAAAACATTTAACAGTTTTTTCTAATTTCAGTCGAAAATTATTCCAGTATATTAAATTAAATTCTTTTGGAATGAAATTTATATTTTATTTTTTTTATTATTGACAATATAATAAAATATATATTATTGGAAAATAAAGCAATAATTTAATTATTACCCACTTTAACAAATAAACAAATTTGAAAATTAAATTAACTTTAAATACAAAATTTTGCGCGAGCTATATTTTGTGATTTAAAACTGAATATATATTGGAAATTGTTATTTGAATAATAACCAATAATGGTTTACATTCTAACGCTAAAAATAAATGTTTGAGTATTAATAAAAAAGAGCGAAAAAAAATGCAGTGAATGAGTTTCTAAGCGAAATATTACCCAATAACGATGTTCAGGAATGTCAAGCTCGAAATGTGGATACATAAAAGGAAAAAGTAATAAAACAGAAAGAAAATAAAAGTAAATTACAAACAGAAAAATAGTGAGTACACTTACTCTTTGTCAAATATTTCGAGTGGTTTTATAAAGCATTGCTTAAATTTTACAAATTTTATCAAAGTAAACCAACAACGAATTTCATTTTCTTTTCTTTCCTTTTCTTTGAATATCACATATATTAATCAATAATAGAAAAGAATTTCATTTATTTTTTAATATCAATTAAAATAATTTAATTAAAAGTTAAAATTAATTTTTTTCAAATTGTTAGTTGCTAAAAATTACTGCAAATAGTGAAATAAGAAATTTAAGTTTTTAATTTAATTATTAACTAATTTAAACAATTAGCAAATAATTTAAACAATTAGTAACTAATTTAAACAATTAGTAACTAATTTAAACAACTAGCAAATAATTTAAACAATTATAACCATAAAGAATAACAATTTCTTTTTTCTATTCTGTTCTAAATTAAATAATTAATAATTAACAACATTAATATTTAACATAAATAATTTATAATAAATATACCAAAAAAAATGTTAATCTTATTAAAAATAATTCTAAATAAAGTTTTTCTAGAAAGTTATGATTTCTAATATTTATTTTTCAAAAAATTTGTGAAGTTCCATATAATTTTGATAAAAGTTAGAAAATTGTTAAAAAATTAAGATTAGGAAATAGAAAATATTTTGCATATTTCTGCTTCTCAATAAAATTATTTTGTTTACATAATTATGAGTTTATTTTTGAAAAAGAAGAAAAATCTTATCAAATTTCTATTATCTCAATTTTTTAACAAAATTCTGTTCTTCTTTGAAAAAAAGAAATAATTTGCATAATTTTTATACAAAAATTAATATATATAATTATAAAACATTTTTTTAAAGAAAATTTTAAATATCTTTAAGAAAAAATCCCTGTTATTTATATATTTGATAATTACGATTTTTAACTAGGTTATTTAAAAAATCGTTATTAAAAAAATTAAATATTTTTAGAATAAAAATTTTGAAAATTACACTTTTATTAGAAAAAGAAATTTTTAGAAAATGACCTTTATGAGAAGAAAGAAAATTAGAAAATCACCTTCATTAGAAAAAATTTTTGTAGAAATTCACCTTTATTAGAAAAAAAAGTTTTCGAAAATAAAAAAAATTAGAAAATACATTTTAGAAAAACTGTACCCCAACCATTAATTTAATTACTTAATAATTAATGAACATAATTAAAATTTGGTTAATTATTCTAAAACTTAGTTAATTGTTAACCAATAATTTCAATAATTAATAATTAATTTACATAATTAACTATTAACTTACACAATCAATAGTTTAAATAATTAATAGTTATGTTAAATAATTCATAAAAAATTTAAACAAATTAAACAATTAAACAAATTAACAAATGTTAATTTTATTAATTAACATTTACTTTATGTTGCTAATAGTGAATTTAAATAATTAATAATTAATTTACACAATGAATAGTTTATTTAATTAATATTAATCATTAAGGTACATAATTAATGCTTTAGTTTAAATAATAAATTAATTATTTATTTAAGTAATTAAAATCAATAATAAGTAATTAAAATCAATAATAAGTAATTAAAATTATTAATAATTAATTAAAATAATTACTAACTAATTCAAATGATTAATTAATTAAAGTAATTAATAACTAATTAAAATGATTAATAATTAATTAAAATAATTAATAACAAATTAAAATGATTAATAACTAATTGCAATAATTAATGGTCAATCACAGTAATTAGTACTAAATTAAAAGAATTGAATAATTAATTAAAATAATTTATATGTATTTTAAAGAACGATAAAAAATAATTATACTCATTAAGTAAAAATATATTTCCCACGAAAAAAAGCAGCAAGATTATAACAAATGATAAAATATGAGAATGAGATTAATAAAAAACTAGTGCAAAAAAGATAGAGAAGTTTCTTTGTCCGGGTTAGTAATTTGAAAATCAAACAACAGAAATAGAGAGTAAGAGAGAAAGAGAATGAGAGATGAAGAGAGATAGAAATAGTACTAATAGGTTTATTCTGCGGTTTGAAAAAGAGAAAATTAAAGCCAGAAGCAGTTGCGTTAATTGGAGACCGTAACTGCGAATGAGTTTTTAATTAATTATTTTGTGGCGAAAATGCATTTCACCGACAATATTGGCGTAGAGGAGAAGAAAACTATAAACACTTGCCTGAATGTCTCGAGATAATACTAACAAACAATAAATGTACCACCTTTCAGAAATGCAATGCTTTAGAATGTTATGACATCTCGAAAAATACTATACTCTGATACGAGAGGCAATAGAGAGAGTTCACATAAATAGATAAAAAAATAAAACAAATAAATCAGATAACAGTTATTTCATGAAATATAATTTAAAAATTAATTTTACTCACGACAATATATGAGGAAAACTTTAGTAATTTTCTATATTAAAGGAAATCCCCTCATGACAAATATGACACCACGACCTTTCTTGTTCATCACATTTAAAAAAACAAGCAAGAAAAAAAAATTGTAAATAATTCTGTGTATTTTCCTCTTTTATGATAAGAAAAAAATTGATAATATTAATATGAATGAATGAAATGAATGAGTAAAACTAATAATGAAAATTTTATTACATACTTTGTATATTTGAAATGTAATTCCATACACACACTATCTTAGGAAAATATGAAAATTTTATCTGTTCAAGTTTTAATAGAAAACTCTTGAGTCAAGTGGTATATGAAATCAAAGAAAAAAAAATTATTTTTTTTTTATCATGAATGTCGATCTGCACGTACTGATAATTATTCTTTACAGCTGATTATATAGCCTTGGCAAAGAAGCTTTGTTCGTAAAAACGAATTGCTATAAAATTCAACGCCCCAGTACGATTTTATCAATATTGAGCATTGTTGGTATACAGAGAATGATTTCACTGTTTTTTAGCTTTTTTTTTTGTTTTGTTTATTTTTGTCAAATTTTTTACTAATGTTGTTTCAAAAAAATCGATAGATAAGAATATTTGAAATATACCTAGGTTTCAATCATTTTTATTTGTTCATTTTTTTGGGAAAAATATTGTCCGAATATTAAAAAAAATATTCAAAAATACTCAGAAAATAATTTGTTTGAAATATTTGTTGGTATACTTATGAGAAAAAAAATAAACAAAAAAAAAATAGTTATTATGGTAATAAAATAAAATCCAAAGAAGTATTCTTTGGAATGTTACACAAATATTGTTGTTAAATTTTTCAAAAATATTTTCGTAGATTATTCAAAAAACCTTATCTTTGAAAATGTTGTACAGAGAATTAAATGTTTCCTGAAAATAATCTTTAAATATTCTCTCAAAATATTCTTTGATAATTTTTGGGAATATTTTTAAAACTTTTCTTTCTTTTTCTAGGAATATTCTTTAGATATTCAGTAAAAATATTCTTGGAATATTACCCAGAAAATAGAAATATTCTTTGAATATAGCCTCGTAATATTTTTGAATATATTTTAGGAATATTTTTTTTATATTTAATGTTATTGATTTCCCAGTAATATTCTATGAATATTTCTAAGGAATATTTTTTAAATATTTGGTAAGAATATTGGTTAATTATTGCTTAAGAATATTATTCCTTGGAATATTTTTAAATTCTTTTTAGGAATATTTTTTGTATATTTTTTAGGAATATTCGTTAATTTTTTCTAGGAATATTCTTCGATTATTAATTAAAAATATTCCAAGGAAATAATTAAAGAATATTATATGGAATATTTTTTTAATACTCCCTAGGAATATTCATAAATATTACAGTACTATATAATATTCTTTGTAAATTTTTTACTTGATTATTTTGTAAATTTTTTTTCAATATTTCCTAGGAATATGCTTTGAATATTCCTTCGGAATATTTTTCAAATACTTCTTCGAAATATTCCCTGATTATTTCCTTGGAATATTTTTTTTTAATACTTCATAGTAATATTCTTTGATTAATTAATAAAAATATTCAATGGAAATAATTAAAGAATATTACATGGAATATTTTTTAATACTTCCTATGAATATTCTTTAAATATTACAGTACTATATTCCTTGAATGCGTTTCAGAAATATTCTTTGTAAATTTTTTAGTTGGTTATTTTGTAAATTTTTTCAATATTTTCTAGGAATATGCTTTGGAATATTCTTTGGAATATTTTTGGAATATTTCTTCGGAATATTCTTTGATTATTTCGTTGGAATATTTTTTTAATACTTAATAGTACTATATTCTTTGAATTCTTTTCAGAAATAGTCTTTGCACATTTTATGCGAATATTCATTAAGGTACTTTTTAGGAATATTCTTTAAATACGTTTTTAGGAATATTTTTTAAATATTTCCTAAAAATATTCTTTTATTACTTTCTTGGAATATTTTTTTAATCCTCCATAGGAATATTTTTTTTACTTTTTAGAAATATTCGTTGATTATTTCGTAAGAATATTCTTTTAATATTTCTTAGGAATATTTTTTGAATATTTCAAGGAATATTTTTAAATTTCTTTCTAGGAAAAGTCTTTAAATATTTCAATGAAATTTCTTCATTGTTTATTAGGGAATATTCATTGATTATTTTGTATGAATATTTTTTAAATGTTTCTTAAGAATTTGCTTTGAATATTCTTAGATTATTTCCTTGGAATATTTTTCTACTTATTCCTAGAAATATTCTTTCAATATTTCAGTAATATATTTTTTAAATTCGTTTTTTGAATAGTCTTTGAATATTTTTTAAGAATATTCATTGCTTCTTTCGTAGGAATATTTTTTGATTGTTTCCTAGAAAAATATTCTCTCAATATTTTCTCGAATATTTCCTCGAAATATTTTTTGAATTCTTTTTAGAAACATTCTTTGAATATTTCTCAAGAAAAACCTTTTAATATCTCCTAGGAATATTCTTGGAATTTTTTTCTCAAAATATTACTTATTTACTTGGATATTCCTTAAAAATATTCATTGAATATTCCTTAAAAATAATCATCGAATATTCTTTAAAAATATTCATTTAATATTTCCTGATAATATTTTCTCAAAATATTTCCTAAATATTCCTTTGAATTATTTTTCCTATATTTAAAAAAAAAAATTCTTTACCTATTTTATAATAATTATTTTTAACAGTCTTTTAACATTCCATAAGAATTTTTTTAGATTATTCAACAATCCAATAATTAGTTCGTTTATTATTTCAATTTTTCTTTCTTTTTTTAATATTCTAATGGAATGGTTTTACGCTATTTTAATTATTTCGGATTTTTAATATATAAATATTTATGTTTTAATTCTGTGAATGGAAAACTAAGTAGTGCTCTGTAATTGAATTGTCGTAATTCAATACAGTATGAATTCGCAGCGACTACTAATTAATTATGCCAACATAATTTCTCCTACTACATTATGCAGAATTACATCTCTTGAGCGTTCAAATTTAGGATTATATTCGGTTAAATAAAAAAATGGAGCTTTTTTTATAAAATGAAAAAATTTTTTTAAAAATAAAAAAAATTGATTTAATATTAATTGTAATTACTTATTAATATAATTATTAATTATTTATACAGTTAATGTAATTTATATAATTAATTAATACCTATAATTATTAATTATTAATACAGTTGATATAATTTATAGGTATAATTAATTAATGCCTATAATTATTAATTATTATGATTATTATAATTAATATAATGATTATTATAATTAATATTAAAAAATTTACTTAAAAAACGATTTTAATAAAAAATAAACTTTTAAATATCGTTTGGAATTTCTTTCATAAATTTTCACTCCTTCCTGCTATCTATGAAAATTTTTGTTTTAAAATTTAATATTGTTGTGAGAATTTTAGAAGCTTAACGGTAAACCAATATATACATGCATCGTTCTTTGTTAAAAATGGGTAATTTTTCTGTTTTTTCTCTCACTTGCTTTTTAATTTTTAATTATATACTCCCTTTTCTTTTTTCTCATCATTTTTTTTATTTTCGTTTAATGTACACTGAATTTTTTTTTACTTTCCTTTGTTTTTAAAATTGTGTTCTCTATTTATTTTCTTTTCGCTACTCGTTTAGTTTCCTTTTTTTTTGACAAATATAGATGTTTTTTCTATATATTATTTTTTAAATTATTAAACAATGGTACAGGGAATACAAATTTTTTTTGTTTTTTATTGAAAAAAAATATATACTTCTCATATTTTCCGATATTGTTTCTACTATTAGTTATTATTGTTAATTTTTTTCTACTCTTGTTCTGTATTATTTTCTTTTTTTCTTCTTTAAAAAAACATTTCAGCTGCAATCAATTAATGAGTTGTCTCTCTCTCTCTCTCTCTCTCTCTCTCTCTCTCTCTCTCTCTCTCTCTCTCTCTCTCTCTCTCTCTCTCTCTCTCTCTCTCTCTCTCTCTCTCTCTCTCTCTCTCTCTCTCTCTCTCTCTCTCTCTCTCTCTCTCTCTCTCTCTCTCTCTCTCTCTCTCTCTCTCTCTTTCTTTCAATTAATTATCTTCCATTCCTAATGCTATTTTATTGCCTTCTCTCTATTTGGATTATATTTTCTTCGCTTTTTTTTCTAATCTTACCCTCTTTTCAAGTTCTATTTGTTTCATTTTTCAAGAATATTTGTTCTTTTTTTGTTTTCAGCTTGAGGTTTATTTTGGCTTATTTTGCTTCTTTCAATTTTTATGCGATTCCGTTTTCTATTTTTATATTTCCATCGATTTTTTTTTTCTTGATATTATTTGTTTTAGTGAAAAACTTTTTTCACTTACGTGACTTTTCGTAAAAAGTTGATATTTATTCAAATGTTTCTCGAGAGCAGAGGGAGGGGAGAGAAAACAGCATTGATTTTGTCTCGATATTTTTTTTTTTAAATTGAGCTCTTCCTCTGTCAGCATTATTCTTTTAATAAATATATATATATATATATATATATATATATATATATATATATTCTTTTTCAAAATACTATCAATATAATTTTTTTTTGCTTGAATGATCCCCAAGCTATCCTTTCCTTTCTTTTTTGCTAACGTCATCGTTAATTTCGTTAATCTTGATAATTTCATTTATTTCAAAGACATTATCGTTATCTGTCATGCTGTATGTCATATTCTTTTTATAATAGAGAGAGAGAGGAGAAAATCATATTGGTTAATTAAATTTTTAATTAATAACAGTAATAATTTTTCAACGTATTCCCTATATGAATAATGGAAAAATCTTTGCAGCTATAATTAGAAATTTTATTAAATATTTAAAAAATAATGACAAAAATTTATTGATTTAACTTTCCTCGTTGGTGGATATAAAAATTGTTTTAATTTAATAACTAAAATTAACAAACTATTTTTCTATGAATATTGTAGAAAAAAACAATAATAATATTAATATGAATTTTCAAAATTTTGTTTAAATTGATTTTTTTTTTTTAATAAATAAAAAATGGAAATTTCGCTAAACAATTTTGTTTTATCCGCTGTCGTTAAATTTTATTCCACTGTTGATAAGTAGAAAATTTTCGATTTTATTTTAATACGGTAAGGTATCTTTTATTATTCAAGTGGATTTCTACTGTAATTCTGGTGAATTCGCTAGGGGTAAGTTACCACCAGAGAGGGTTGAAAATTGTGGTAAAAGCACCCCAATACAGATGGCGGCATCAAACCCAGAAGATATTGTCAGGAATAAAGTAAACCAGTAAATTAAATAAATCAAATAAATTAAATAAATAAATAAAATA